CTTTCCTCAACTTGATTTTCCTCTGCGTTTTCTCCCTCAGAAGTACCAATCCCTGCCAAGACTCCCTTGTGCTTCTTGAGCATGCGGCCCACATACCCACTGACGTGTTACAGTTAAGTCAAGAGAACACACCCAAGTCTGACTTGTCCTTTTCCCTCTTAGACTTCTGACCACTTCCGCGGCTCTCACAATGATTCTAGTATCTAAAGCTTGATTCCTAAACATAGTCATTGCTTTTGTTTGTTCCCACTCTTTTGTTGTACTTTTAGTCAGCGGTTAAAGAATTATTCTTCTAAAATATGTTTGACTTCCTCACCTCCTAGAGGCTCTCTGGTGGCATAGTAGTTATGTGTTGGGTTACTAACCACCAGGTCAGCAGTTTGAAATCACCAGCCATTCGTGGGAGAAAGATGAGACTTTCTACTCCCATAGAGAGTTACTCTCAAAAACCCACCGGGCAGATCTATCCTGTCCTAGCCGGCCCTTCTGAGTTGGAACAGACTTGGCGACAGTGAGTAAGTTAGCTCCCTCATCGACTCAGGCCTTCCTCACTCCTCCCTCCCCCCACTTGCTGTCGTTAGGTGCCATCAAGTCAGTTTCAACTCACAGTGGCCCTCAGCACAACCAACGAAACACTGCCCGGTCTGGTGCGGCCCTCACCATTGTTCATGTTTGAGACCATTGTTGCAGACCTCCGTGTCTAGCCATCTCACTGAGCACCTTCCTCCTTTTCGCTGCCCCTCTGCTTTCCCAAGCATGATGTCCTCCTCCATAGACTGGTCTCTACAGACAACATGTGCAAAGTATGTGAGATGAAGTCTCGCCGTCCTTCCTTCTAACGAGCATTCTGGCTGTACTTCTTCCAAGGCAGATTTGCTTGCTCTGTTGGCAGTTCAGGGTACTTTCCATATTTTTTGCCTGCACCATGATTAGATTGTTGTAGGACCCCAACCTTCTGTTCCTTCAGCCAATATTCATCCACACAAGGTCACAGATCCATCTTTTAAAAAGTACTATGATTATTCTACCACCTGGCTGCTCAGAAACCTTCCTTAATTCCTTAATAGTTTATTATTTTTTAAAAAATGTTCTATTTATCTTTTTATTTGACATTTCTAAATTGATTTTTTTT